AACACCCTGCAGATATTAGATGAATCTTGTTATATTATTTTTTAAACATACATGACATGACATGATACTCCTGTACTTGAAAAACATAGATAACTTCTTATACCTGAAATTTAAAGTTATGAGTTGCAACCTTTCAGTCTCTGGGCAAAATTGCTGTCATAATGGAATTTTATGGGGCAGTTAGATAATAAATAAGTAATAATTAAATGCAAAAATAAAGTAATTTGAGACTGGGAGAAAAGGTAAGAGGAATATAAATGGAAGATGGTCATGGAGACCTCTTTTAGAAACACTGGACATTTTACGCTAAAATGGTAGAGATTCAGCCCTGGCCGGGTGGTTCGGATGGTCTGGAGCATCGTCCCACACACCAAAAGGTTGTGGTTCAATCCCTAGTTGGAGTGTGAACAGGAGGCAACCGATAGATGTTTCCCCCTACCCCGCCCATCTCCCCAGCCCGTTCCTCTCAAAAATCAATGAACATGTCTTTGGGCGAGGAGAGTAATTTGTTCTTCATTGAAAAGAACAAATGAATAAAATAAAACGCTGGAGAGTCAGTAAAGTTGCACTGAGTTCATTTTGTAGGCTAGATGCCAGAATGTGAAAGCTGGCACTTGCGGACAGAGATCCTCAAAGTGTGTTCAGGGAGGCCTGGGAAGGTTCTGTGGGGTGAGCAGCAAGTGAGGCGAATTTGGAAGGTCAAGTTCCCATCCACAGGGACCCCCAAGGGAAAGTCAAGACTCATCTGCCTCCTTGAAATCAAAATGATTGCACAGTTTAAAGTGAGCTCTGCCGCTTTTCTTCTCTAAATGTTATGTAACTCCAAGGACATCTGGCACGCTGGTTGCTTGGAGGCTCAGTGGTGGGTGAGGTCCAGGGTCTGGGGCCTGCGAGCGTGTGTGCCCACATTCATGTCTTTGAGGCAGAGCCGGCATTCTCCCTGCACTCCCTTCCCTCTGCTCTGCTTCCTTAGTGGCTTTGCACCCGATCATTGCCATTGAATAACATAGAATGACACTTCTCTCCCGATTTTCATGCCAGAATCCCTTGGAACTTAAGCCTAGATGCAAGGATTAAGGAGAGGGCAGCCAAGGCCTCCAGGTTGCCAGTTACTTGACTGGCAACCCCATTCACATTTTAAAGATAAACAGATTATCTTAAAAACAGATTTTAAAGATAAGTTTGGTGCTGTAAGTGATGCCATCCTTTTGTCAGGCTGTGTCAATAATCATAAACCCTCCTAATTATGCCCCCCCCAACCATCGGTCAAGCAGACAAATACTTGGGTGTCAGCATATCCTCACGATGCCACCTTCTGTTGACCCTTGGGATTCTCTTGCTGTTTGGGTTGGCACGGGAGCACGATCTTCTGTTTTATGTAATAAGGCACATGAGAGAAGCCCTTTGTGCTCGGCCTCTCTGAGTGGGTGCCGAGCAAGAGGTCTTGTGTACCCCATCATTTTTGGTACGGGCAAAGCTAGTGAACATTTCTGTGGCCTGGTAAATGTTTTCTGACGATGGGCAAGGTTTGTTTTTGTTTTTGTTTTTTTTCTCCCCCAGTGCCATTTTGCTCCAGGCCAAGATCATGGTGACCCAGCTTTGGTTTAAGATGAATTTAGCAGAAATGTGTTGGGGGTGGGGATGGGGAGGTCGGGGCGACAGTGTTTTCAGAGAAAACAGGCATGGCTGCCACTTGGGCACAGGTCATACAGCTTTGCATGTGCTCCATCAGGCCCAGGACATTTACCCGTCGTGGATTGCATGGATACGAGGGCAAAGCTTGTCGAGATCTCCAGAAATCAACAAACTTTTGTTTTTCTGAGAAGGCTTGTGGCTAGAAGGAAAAATGATATAGAGCCTGTGTTCAGATATGCGTTTTCATTTTTGCTTTAGACTACCAAGAGAAAAGGCCGTTTAACCTCATCGACCGCCTTAGCCTTATTATTCATATTGTTCCTTCATTAATTTTTTATAACATAGTATGAAATGTTAGCATCAGGGGTTGGCGGCCTTGCTGGGGGAACACATTGCTTTGAAATCAACACAGCTGGAAACTGACCACATATTGTTTTTCTTTCTTTTAAGAAATGAAAGAGGCATTTATAGAAGGGTCGGAGAATGCTGTACTGTGCAGAATTACTTTATAGATTTACTCCGCCAAGTCTGGTTAATGATTAATGTCACGCCTTGCTGTCCAAATGGGCCCACTTCCCTTCTCTCTTCCTGAAGTGGCAGCTTCCCGGGAACAATAAACTCCTGGAGGTTTGCTGTGATCCTCACTTGAGGAGGGGGCGGAGTCTGCTCAGAGCGGCTTCCCTGGGCGAAGGGAAGAATGCCTTCGTGGGGTTTTCTCCTGCTAGCCCTCCTTGCAGCTTTGAAAACCTCATCAGAGCCACTCCTGCTGGCTCCTCACTGGGCTGTGTTTTCAGCGGTGGGCACGTAAGTGAATGATGGAATGTTGGTGTGTGTGCTTGTGATTTTCGTTTCATGTGATCCACTTCTAAAAATGAAGGCACGGTATTTTCTAACTGAGTAATTCAACTAGTTTCTGTGTCTCCCGGGACTTTTCTTGTTGCCGTCAGAAGAGAACTAGGGGCCTTATTTTCTCACTCCTTGAAGACATTGTTGTTATTTTGGTAATTTGTTCTATTAGTCTTTATACCAAAAGGTTTCCCCCTCTTCCTCTCATTTGCTCTTTCTTCATATAGATGTGATGATAGTTTGTTGAGTTATCATGTAATTGCTATTAGTGAATAGGTAATAAGTCACTGCTATGGTATATTAATTCATTGCTGCATTAAAGTTTTGCGAAGGAGGTTTTCTCCATAAATAGCTTATTCCTTTTGACATGTAGCTTGTAAGAGCTGAGTTAGAAATGAAGAAGAGAGAGGTGTAGGACTTGAAGAGTAACTCCTGCTTCTGGTTCACTGAAATGGCAATGCGAGAGCCTTTATCACAGGTAAAACTGTTTTCACTTTAGTCCAGTTTAGTTTCACCTTTAGAATGTCAAGTGAGTTAGGGGTTTGTATCTGTTGGAATTACCGGAATTACCTGTCACCGATATTGGCATATATACCTAGCTATCTGGAGAAGTTGAATTTGTTACTCATTGCTGACCAGAATATCTCATTTAAAGTAGCATTTCCCCTCTATTTGACTGAGGCCCAGAGATGGGAATTTGATCATATATCTAGTATTCGGATTCTCACAATCAGCTCTCACACTTAGTGTTTTTCCTGGTACACAGTACAGCTCGGTGTATTGTCAACAGCTGACACTAACTTGGTGACATGTGCTAAATGGCCACCTGAGCTCCAGGAGTAAGAAAGTAAAAGTGAGTTTTGAATCTTATAAAGTGTATAGATAAGCCCAAATCAGGAGGGAACGGAGGAAACCTCTTATTAGGAAGGCGTTCCTAAAAGACTTTTTTTTCCCTTTGCCTCTGGCTTTATATAACTTGACAGAACTGAACTAGATTTTAGATTTTGAATGTGTGTGGGGCGGGGGGGAAGGAGACTTAATTGTGCATTATATTGAGCTTTGATAATATGGCCAATTTTGTTCATAAATTTCTTAGATGACTTGTTAATGTGACTATACAGATTCTTCCTCTGAATGACTATCATTAATAGCTACTTAAGGTATCCCAGTGTTTTTCATATGTTATCTCACTTAGTTTTCATGTTAGTCTAATAAGGTAGGTACTGATGTGACTTCCTCATTTTACAACTGAGGAAGGATATGGAGAGTCCAACTGGCTCCGAGGTCACTTGGTGAGTAGAAGAACCCAATGCAAGCTTTTCTTTTAAACTCAGAAATCCCGTACTCCCTCCAGTCCCTCCTCTCTCTCTCTGGTCACCTCTAAACTCCTTCCATTGTGAGACAGTGGAAAGAGTTTTGACCTCAGATCCAAAGACCTTGATTCCAATTCTGACTGGGTCATAGCTGGCTTTGTGATGGCGAGTGGTCGCTGGAATAAGTCTTTGGAAGTTATTTTCCAGCCAGCAGGTTACAATATTTGATTTTTTTAAGTTCCTCTGCAGCTTCAGAATCTCTGCCCAGGATTTTGTCCGGGGCCTGTGTCACCATTGCACGCTCGACTGCATCCTACAGGAGAGGGGAGGAGCAACGTGGGAGCCTGGCCACTCTGTCCAGCCGGCTTTGGCATGAAGAGACCCACAGGATCTCTTTAGATGAGGAAAACCCTGGGCCCTTACACGACTCTTTTCTCATCTGCTTCCTGAGCTGGCATTTCTCAGTCTGTTCTTTTTCACTCATCAACAAAAGTATTTGAGCCAAGCTGTCTTTGTGGTTTCAGCCCAGGGATGAACACATCAGTTATGTGCCCATCTGGCTCTCGGAGCAGTGATAACCTCCTTGCATGAGCCCATCTGTTACCTTAATCCTTTTTGGAACAGGGCACATGTAAATAAATATTACTGTGTTCCTCCCTTAGGTGTCTCAGCTCCTGGCAGGTGGTTGAGGATGGGCTGGGCAGATGGCGGGAAAGTATTTTTAATTTTACCTCCATGGTTAACTTGTCAGTTGTTCACAGATCAGTTTAGGAAATAGTGGGATACTGGGATCGGGGTGACTACAATGACTGACATTAAAAAGGTAAAAAAACACCTATAACCAACACCGTCTACCATCACCACCGTTGTGTACAGGAGAGAATACAGAAGATGAAATGACAAAACCTCATCAGGGAGAAAGGCCAGGTCTTCCGAGGTAAAGAGAGTTGGAATTCTTATACTGACATTTTCTCCTGTGACTGGTGAAAAGCCTCATCCGTGACCATGGCTTGTCTTTGGAAAGCTCTGCTCAGCCTGGCGCTTGGGTGCTTGTCTCTCACAGGTGTCGTGGGTAGGAAGTGCAGTTCCGACAGGGAGAGGAGAGCACTGTTCCCAGGTCAGCCCTTTCCTTCTACAGCCACCTCTAGTCCCTTCACTAGTGTGGTGATACAGACCTTAACTTTATCCTTCCATCTTTCCTTATAGGCAAGAAGCGAAACCCTGGCCTTAAAATTCCAAAAGAAGCATTTGAACAACCTCAGACCAGTTCCACGTAAGTTGTCAAGATCACCTTCTTCATCCAAACACTCATACTTCACAGGTGCCTGGGCAATGGGGGTTCATTTGGGGGCTGGCAAGCAATGCCTTGACTGTGGAAATAGCTGTTAAAAGGAAGAGCCCTTTAAAGGGGAAGCTGTTCTGTGCTTACTGTTCTGTGAGCTGAAATAATCACACTTGGTCAGTTAGTCTGTACTGAATAGGTAGCTTTGAACTCAGTGTCTCCTGTTACTGGTTGGCTGTAAATTGATCGTCACAAATGCATTTGGCAGATGGGGTCCTCTGTAAGTCTAGAAAGGTCCCTGGATGTGCACTTTTTACCTTTTGCCATGTGGATTTGAGCAAACAAGTAAATCCTTGTGAGAGCCACCACTATAAAACTTAGGTTGAGATGGAAAATGGTATTTGGTGAAGACTCAGCATCCTGACACCTAGGTCCTATCCCACATAAACAGAAGGCAAAATGAAGTAAAGGAACACTTTTTAATTAGCTGAGGCTTTGGCCCAAATCCCTGAGTGAGCCAAAGTTCTGGTGAAGCCGGACACCCTCTCCCTGAGGTTTTAGGTTGACCTGTACTTTTTCTCCAACAGATTTTCAGTTGCTCTGGCACCATTTGTTGAAACGGCTCTCCCTCCTCCATTTACTTGCTTTTGCTCCTTTGTCAAATATGAATTGTGCATGCTGTGTGCCTCTGTTTCCGGGTTCTCTGCTCTGTTCCACTGATCTGTGTGTCTGTGTGTCTGTGAATATCACACTGTGTTGGTGACTGCAGCTAAATGGTAACCTTAACATTGAGAAAAGTGATTCCTTCCCCCTGGTTTGTCTTTCAAAAAATTACTTTGGCCATTGAGGGCTTTTCTCTTTTCCTGTAAGTTTTAGACTAAGCTTGTCTATGTCTTCAAAATAAACTTGCTGAGATTTTGATAGGAATTGTGTTTAACCCATAGGTCAGTTTAGGGAGAATGATATCTTCTATTATACTGAGTCTTCCAGCCCCCAAACCTGGTAAATTTCTCCAAGTATTTAGATTATCTTTGAATTTCTTAATTATTTCATAGTTTTCACCATAAAGATTCTTTCTCTACGTTAGATTGTATACCTAAGGATTTTTATTGGTGGGAGCAATTACAAATGGTATTCTATTTTTGATTTTGATTTCCACTTGTTCATTGTCAGTATAGAGAAATGCAATTGATTTTCTGGTTGATCTTGTCCTGTGATCTTATTAGAATCACTTATTAATTCTAAGAGCTTTTTGTAGATTTCTTAGAATTTTATAGAGAGCCATGCCTTCTGCAAAAAGAAATAGTTCTGTTTCTTCCTTTTCAAGCAGTATTCTTTAAACCTTAATTTTCTTACCTTATTTTAGTGCAAGAATGTCCTGTACTGTGTTAAATAAGATTAGTGGGAGCAGGTAACCTTGCTTTGTTCTTTATCTTAGAGGGAGAACATTTCATCTTCTACCATAAAGCATGGTATTTGGTTTTTGTAGATGCTGTTTATGAGGTTGAAGTGTACTGAGAGTTTTTATCATGAATGTTTGTTGAATATTATTAAGTGCTTTTTTTGTGCATCCGCTGATATAACATAGATTTTTCTTCTTTATCCTGTTGATATGGATTAAATTGATTGATTTTTAAAATATTGAACTAGACTTGCATACCCCAAACAATTCCCACTTGGATGTAGTATATTACTTTTTTATATATTGTTGCATTTGATCTGCTAAACTTTTGTTGAAGAATTTTGTCTCAGTTTATGAGAGATATTGGTCTGTAGTGAGTTTTGTTTTTTGGTGTATGCCATTATTGTCTGGGTTTGGTATTAAGGTAATATTGGCCTAATAAAATGAGTTGCTGAGAGTTCTGTCTATTTTTGGCAGGTATTATGCAAAATAGGTGGTAATATCTTTGAAAATATTTTGAGATAAAATTGACATGTAACATTATCTTAGTTTTAGGTATATAACATAATATTTTAATATATGCAATTCTCTCCTTTTTTTCATGTTTTCTAAAATTCTTCAGTGAAGCAAAACAGGCTTGCACATTTCTTCTGGAGTTTTGTAGCTACAAATTTAATTTCTTTAATAGTTCTAGGATAGTCCCCTGATCTTTTTCATCATGGATAGGTTTTGGTAGTTTGAAGTATTCAAGGAATTTGTCTATTTCCTCTAAGTTGTTGAATTAATAAGAGTAAAGCTACTCATAGTATTTTCTGAAATATCCTTTTAATGGCTGCAAGAAATATTGTCCTATCCCATTTTTACCCCGATATTGGTAATTTGTGTTTTCTTGCTTTTTTCTTTGTCAGTCTTGCTAGAGGTTTATTAATTTTTTTTTTTTTAAATGACCCACTTTAGTCCTGGCCAGTGTTGCTTAGTTGGTTGGAACATTGTCCTGTAACCAAAAGGTTGCAGATTTGATTCCAGGTCAGGGCACATGCCTAGGTTGTGGGTTTGATTCCCTGTTCAGGTGCATGTGGGGGAGGCCACCAGTTAATGCTTTTATGGCTCACCAGTGTTACTCTCTCTCCCTTCTTCTCTTTCTAGAAGCAATAAAAAATGTCCTCAGGGGAGGACAGAGAAAGAACCAACTTTGTTTTCTTTACCTTTCTATTTTCATTTTTATGGATTTCTCCCCTTTATGTTTTTCTTTGGGATATATTTTTATATCAGCCTTTCAACTGTCTTATATTACTTCCCTTTACAATTTCTGTTTTTCACCTCCTAATTTATATTAATGTTCTGTATTTTATAAAATTTGAAAACCACCCTAAATGCTTCCTTCATATAAACAAATGAACAAAAACATGTGCAAGGATAAAAATATTTTCTATGTTGCCTTTCCCTCACGTGCAGATTAAACTTGAAAGATATTTTTCTCTTTCACTCTGTAAAGCCAAGAGCATCACTTGGTTATTGCAGACTATACCACTTTAGCTCACGGAGATCCTTGATATTCTAATTGTTCTCTTAATACTTAGGTGTAAATTTTTACTCCTAAAGAAATAGCTCCCACATTGTGAATTTTTCTTGGCAATTATTTGAGGTTGTCTTGGTGACTCGTAGCATTTATACCCTGCCTCCTTCTGCTGCGCTACACAAAAATAAACAGCTTGGGACAGAGCTCCATTCTCTTTAGTTCCACGTGTGTGGTCCCTCTGCTGGAGCTTTTTCTCTGAGTAACTGATGCCAGTGTGTCTTTGACTCAGATTTCTGAGCTGTCCCCTCACTGGACTGGCAGTAACTGATTCTAAATCGATTTTGCGCCAGTCCATATCTTCTCTCATTTAACCCTCACAGGACACTCAGGGGATAGTTACTGTTGCTCTCACCGTGTAAGTCCGAAAACAGACCTGGAAAAGGGTCATGTACCTCGCTCAGAGCAGTTGAGCATAGCCTTGCGGGTCAGACTTTAGGCTCTGGCGCTAGTATGCCAAGGTTTGTATTTGGGATTGAAACTTCACTAGTTGAATAGTTTACTTGTTAACCCTGCTAAGACTTATTTTCCCCTTCAGAAAAACAGGAATACACAACGATGTGCTTGTTGTGAAGATTAGATGTCATAATCCATACTAAGTCTCCTAGAGCCTGTTCCATTGTAAGTTTTTAATGAAGATAGCTCCAAATATTGCTGGTATTATTGTTAATCCACTGTTATTAAGTGGAAGAACTGGCATACAGATTCAGGGCTCTCTGACTCTCAAATATGTCTTTCTAGCCATATATCAGATTGGTAGAGACTTCGGCCAGACAGTCCCTGGCTATAAAATGAGTGGCAGGATATTCCACTTCTGTTATTGAGAGAGTAATGGCACACACAGCTCTGGGTTCTAATCTCACCCATCTCCCTTTGGATGACCTTAAATTATTTTGTCTGCTTCAGTGTCAATTCTTCACATTCGAATAGAAATAATAATAATATATGTGGAAATTAAAGATGATATTTTATATAAAGGGTCTACAGCCCAGTCTCTGGCCCAGATAGATGCTTCATAAATATTGTCAAATGGAAGAAGAATTGTAACAATAACCAGTGAACTGATTGCTCATGCAGTACTAAAAATAAATCATTCTAATACACCAAAGCTGGTTGTTCGTATAAAACAATAATACTTTGTGCCCTTTGGAATACCTCCCAGGGGAGAAATTTTGTAATAAGTTTGGGTCTTACCCCAGTGGACTAAAATGTTGAATAAGTGACAGAGAACATGTACCCACAGTATAATCCTCTTACAGAGGCTCAGTGCCCCAGGCAAACTCCTGTGTCCATCTTGGAGGGAACACGGAGTCAACTAATCCAATATGATCTCTCAGTCTCGGCCCCATCGCTTGATGCTTTTGGCAGACCGGGTGAGGCCTGTGGCCTGAGCCTGGGTGAACTGATTGTTCATGGGAGGGAGACTCGGTGTCGAGAGCAGGTTCCTTGGGTGTAGTCAGTCTGGGATTAGAATGATGGGTTTACTACTTGGGAGCAAATTACCCAAACTCATTTGGAACCTGGGAATGATGGTACTCATGGTAAGGGCGTGTGGGGGTGGGGGTCCGGGGGGGTGTTAAATAGTTCATGAAGTGCAGGTAAAGCACTTAACCCTGTTTTCAGTGTGTATCCTTTTCTCCTTAGGTCAGGACTGAGGGTCAGGTGATGGGAGTTTTATTTTCAGCTCTGTTGAGGACTGTGGCTTCAGCAAATCACCGTGTTTTTCAGTGCTTCATTTTTCTCTGCCTGAAAAATGGCACAAAACTCTCCTATTAAGTAGAGGTATAATACAAAGTTAGTATAAAGCTGGAGTCAGCAAACTTTTCTGCAAAAGGCCAGAGGATAAATACTTTAGGTTACCTGGGCCACAGTTGCCTCTGTTGGATATTCTCTGTTGTTTGGTTTTTCATAACCCTTTAAACTTGTAAAAGTCACCCTTAGCTGGGCCCCAGGCTGTCCTTTGCAGAGCCCCAGTACGAATACTACTAGACTCTCAGACCTGGGAGAGGTCTTACCCAGCACCCCTATTGGATGGCAAGAAAACAGAAGTAGCTCCTAATACTAGTGACCTTTCTGTCCCTTCTGTTGCTTTTAAAAGGAAGAATGCTGAACAATTGCAAAGGATTTTTTATTGTTTATGGTAGTCACACGTATCAAGTAATATTTGTCTTTATTTCAAATTTCCACTGCAATTAGTATGAACAAATAGTGACGACTAAAGAAAAAATAGCTTTGGAGATTCTAGGAATGAGAAATCAGATTTTTACTAATATAATTCATCTGCACCATGTTTCAGAAGAAATAGTCCCTGCTCGGAAACACAGGGTATGCAAAAGCATCACTGCCGCACGTGTGTGTATGTTGTGTGTGTGTTTTTTGCTTTCCTCCTCCCTCCCAGGCCCTGGGTTTAAGTTCGTATAGAGAAACTTGTTTTATGTATTCTGTGTATTTTAGGAGGATTTTGAGGTGAGAGAAGGCTCACCATTAAAGCTTCAGATTCATGTTTATATCTGTGTTTATATTTCTATGTTTCCCTCGTTGTTTTCTTTATTGATTTAGTTTCAGCAGAAGCGGTAGAATTATAATACATTAGGATTGAGAAAAGTTGGTGTTGGCGAGGGATGCGTTTCTCTCTTCCTTTCATCTTCCTTCCCTTCCATTTCCCCTTGTATTTTTCTAGAGACAGTTCTGGCACGGAATGTCCCCCAGTTGCTTTATTATTTGGCTGTATTAACAGTATGTTTCTTGGCATACACTCCTGTGTCATGATGCTTTTGGTGCGTTTATTTCAGGAAAAATGCTTTTCTAGCCTCCTCATTAGGTGCACAGCCAAAACCAAACATTTTTCTCCAGAGTGGCTTAATATCAACCCAGGCAGCGCCGAAGTAGTAGAAATAAATACACAGGAGGTGACTGTGCTTTCTTACGGAGGCACAAAATCAGCAGGCCTCTGGCTGCCGAGATGACCTTTGGATAGTGTGCACACCGTGTGGAGAAGAAATGTCACAACTGAATGAGACAGCCTGGGAGAACAGAAAGTATTCTGACCTGAAAATCAGGGGTCTTGGCTTAGGCGTGATCTTGGACAAGTCAGTTCGCCTTTCTAGACCATCTTTTTTTTTTTTCCCCATCTATAAAGGTGGGGACTAGCTAAATTTCTAATTCTTGTGGTCTGTGCATTTTGTGCATGAAGATAACCATTTGTCAATGCTAATTTTTTTTTAAACAGTTGTGGAAAAATTGGGGGGTTAATTGGGCACATTGGTGTTCTTGGCTGAGAAAAGTTTGAGGCCTACTGGAATAAAATATACTTACATAACTATATGCATATGGCTTATATTTATTGGATATTTACTCTGTGTCAGGCATTCTGCTAAGCGCTTTACTTGGAATATTTCATTTGATACTTCTACTCCATGAGGGAGGTATGCTAGTATCCTCACGGTGAAGAAGAGAGAGAGCTCTGGCTGAGTAGCTCAGTGGGTTAGAGCATTGTCCTGTTGCACCAAGATTGTGCGTTCAATTCCTGGTCAGGGCACATAGAAGGATCAATCAATGAGTGCACAAATAAATGGGACAATGACACAGCTAGATGTTTGTCTCTCTCTCTGTCTCTCAAATAAAAAAGAAAAAGAAGATGAAGGAAAAGAAACGGAAGCTCAAAGAGATTAATTTAATTCCAAATGTATTTAATTCCAAATCTTTCACTGTTAACACTTTTATGCTTTAGTGTAGGCTTTATTTTATTTATAAACTTAGTTTTCATTTCCAAGGAAAAAATCTAATTGCACATAATTTGGGAAGGACATTTTGGATGAAAATCTCATGTGTTTTGTTTTCTCCCTGTTTTTCCGTAGGCCACCTCGAGATTTAGACTCCAAAGCATGCATATCTATTGGAAATCAGGTGAGGAAACTCCCATTGGCCAGTTTGTAACTTGACCATTTCATTGTGTCTGCTTTCTGACTGCCCACTGAAAAATATATTTTCTGTAATATGCTGTGAGGCAGGTAGGTCAGAACACTAGAATTTAAGTAGAAGTGGTACGTGGATCACTTGATATTTTTGAGTGTGACATTGAAATCAGGCTATTGTGGTCTTGAGGGAAGGCATTTGAAGAGAGTAGACACTTCTCTTTGGGAGTAGAGAGTACTTGTCAAAGTCCAAGCATGGATCTAGTTACTGCCAGTCAGCACACAGCTACACATACAGCATCTTCAGACCATAAGACACACCTAGGTTTTAGAGGAAAATAGGAAAAAAAATTTTGAAAGAAGAAATGTGGTAAAATATTTAGTAACATAAATGACATATTTCACCTATGTAAATGTAAACAGAACTCAACAGCAGTATTAACAACCCTTACTCCTCCCAGATTAGGGGGTGTGGGGGGGGAAGAGTGTCTTATAGACCGAAAAATACATATTGGAGGAGGCATGGCCCACGAGCTGCAGTGCAGACAACTTAAACTGAGCACTTTGGAAGCTCAGTTGGAGTTGGATGTTTGTATGGCCTGTGACAAGCAGGTGGCATTTTGTGGGAATCTAAACATCTCCTGACACCTGTTGCCTTCAGTGGCTCCTTTGGAGAAGCTTTGAGACCAGTAGCATAGAAGTGACCCTTGGAATGTTGGGAGAAACCAGAGAGAGGACAACGTAGTCTGTGTCGAGTTTATTTCTCGCTTTTCTATTGCGTTATTTTTCTCTCCTGCAGAATTTCGAGGTGAAAGCAGACGACCTGGAGCCTATAGTGGAACTGGGACGAGGTGCGTACGGCGTGGTGGAGAAGATGCGGCACGTGCCCAGCGGGCAGATCATGGCGGTGAAGGTAGAGTTCACGTTCCCCAGACATTTTCTGTCTGTCGTGTTTACGTTTGTCCATCCCAGTTACAAAGCAGCCCTCTTCATAGAAGGGAAATAATCTTCAATGGGGTGAAACGGAAGAGATTATTTGCAGGGAACAAATTGCCCTCCACACGTGTGGAAAATGCTGTATTTTGCCATGTATAACATGCACTCATGTTTTTGGCCCAAACTTTCAGAAAAAAAACTTTTGTTTTATGGTATATAGATATGGAATTAGTACTATCCATGTATAATGTGCATCCTTATTTTTAGCTCAAAAATTTGGGCAAAAAAGTGTGCATTATACTTGGCAAAATACAGGGACTTCCTTAATGTCGTTGAATTCTGGGTCCAAATTAAAATTACCCTGATTGTCTCAGAGTTGTCCTTGTTGTTTTTCCTGTTTGGTTGTTCAAATTAGAATCCAAACAAATGTTCACATTTTGTAGTTGGTTATTATGTCTGAAAAGTCTCTTTTATTCTGTATTCGATGTCTTTTAAAGAATTGTCCCTGAAAATCAGGAAACCAGAATTGAGGGGAAAAAATTGCCTCCGTTTGTGGAAAAAAAGGAGGGTAAAATACATCTTGAGTGAATTTGCATAGTTTCTGCACTATAAAAAGAAATGTGTAATCATTGCATATTTCTCGAGTAGATGCTGGAGGGACCTTGGAGACTCCCCATCTCTAAGTGAATTAATAGATTTGGGCCATCGTTAGGAACATGAATGGCCAGATGACACGGACCCTTGTTTTTAGAGAATGGAGATATCTTACCCATAGCTGGTAGATTTTTCAGGTCTACTGCAGACTCTTTGCTTAGCAGGCAGAACGCGAAAGCCTGGTATATACCATTCCTGTAATTTAATGGCATAATCGTATTTCTATAAGGCTACATTTGCTGATGTGAGAGGTTTCTCTTCTCTCAGAGTCACTGGGATAAGAATGAGAGATTTCTCCATTTCTGTTAGATGCCTTCTATTTTCCACAGCTGTACCAATGCTCGCACAGTTGCTATTTTATCCAAATATTCTTACTTGTTCCCAAAGAGGGAGCTTTTGACTTTTGTTGTAGGACTCCAAATCAGCCACAGAGTAGTTCATAACTGTGGCCTTCTTGCACTGAACAGATGTAATACAAGAAGTCAGACTGTTTTTGTAACTTGGAAATACATTCCCAAACATCTGCACATTTTCCAAAATATATAATCAGTTTTTTTAAACCAAGGATTATTAGGGAAATCAAATGAATAAACAGTCTTTCTTACTTTTCTTTTGTTACAAATAGTTAATTACTTAAGGTGGATGTTCGAGAGGTTGTCGCCATGAGTTGAACCGTGGATTTTTGTAGTGTTTGCAGGATGGGGGCCTGCATTATTCAGTGCTTCATCCTCAGGGCAGTAACCATTCATATTTGCATGCATTCCCATTCAGCGGATCCGGGCCACAGTAAATAGCCAGGAGCAGAAAAGGCTACTGATGGATCTGGATATTTCCATGAGGACAGTGGACTGTCCCTTTACGGTCACCTTTTATGGCGCGCTCTTCCGGGAGGTAGGCGATCCTTCAATTCAAGGTCAAAGAACAATAGCTAAACAAAAGGCACCTCTGATCACATAAATGCTGTGCATGGTTGTGGTGCTTTTACTTGTTTGACATGCCTCCCATAGAGAGTCTTATGCTCTGTGGCTCTCTCTTTTTCTTTTCTGTTTTGCTGTCTCTTTTGGCAAAACTGCCTATATCAATCGTCTATAGACCGACTGAAGTAGAATCCTTAAAATCTGAAATATTCTGGCGCTTTGGCTACTCGCTACACTTTATGTTGCCTGCTTTTGTACCACTTTGCCCCTCTGCTTTTCACTTCACTACGCTGTGGATTATGATGCTTCCCCTCACTCTTGCAACCAGCCTTTTGATGAGCTCTGGCCAGTGCTCCATGTGGGAGGTCAGGTGGGGCTAGGCTTGTACACTTAGCTCCTAGGGGCAGTCACAGTAGAGGCTTGGATTTCTTGGTCTCTATTGCTTGTCTCTATGAGTATTTTGATGTGATCACGTGCTGCTTCTGCTTGGCTGTCTGCTAGTTTGCTCTTTGGAGATAATCTTGCTTATTTATGAATTGCTTTGAGGTCGTAAAGAACAACTGTAGATTTCCTCCAAAAATTCAAGCAAGAAGTAGTTCTTCCTGATAGGTGTTCACTGTATTCTCATTTTCCCTTTTTCATCTCCTTTAACAATTTCTTAACCACTTGCTCTCCAGGGTGATGTTTGGATCTGCATGGAGCTCATGGATACGTCGCTAGATAAATTCTACAAACAAGTGATTGATAAAGGCCAAACAATTCCAGAGGACATCTTAGGGAAAATAGCAGTTTCTGTGAGTATCTCATGAACCCTGCAAGGAAAATGTGAAATGTCCAGGCCTCATGTGAGGAAACAGCCAGAGCATGTTGAATGCAGTGTGGGTAAATGAATGCTTTTCTCTGTGAGCACTGGGGAAGGAAGGGTCTACCACTGGCTCAGTTTGGTAAACTCTCAGTTCAAGCGCCTCTCAGCAGTGCATTCATCTGCTGTGGCTACATTCCTGGTGTCTGAATTCTGACACTAGTTTAATTTTCATTTGTAGATTTTTTACACATTTCCGTAGGACTAATAGGCATAGAAGGAAGCAGAAAAAAAAATGAAATGGCTGAAGGTGTTTGTCCTTAAAAGCTACTAAGGTTCAGGAGGATGGAGAAAAAAAATGCTAGAGGCCACATGAAAACCAAGATATGTGAGTGAGACATCCTTCTGGTGGGTGGAGTCCAATATGTGTGACTCCCTGTATATTTTTCTGGAAAGGGCCACCACTAGTTGAGAAAATAATTCAACCTGGGACCTTAAGTCAGGGATGATAAACCTGGATATACTTATCGCTCGGCTTCTTGCCAGTGATGAGTGACATACATCTATCTTGTGTTTCTCTTGCAGATTGTAAAAGCATTAGAACATTTACACAGTAAGCTCTCTGTCATTCATCGAGGTAAGCATTTACGGGCCTTCCCTGGCTGTTCCTGTTATAAAGTTTGTTGCTTCTACTTGATTTCTACCCCACAATGGATGGAAATGGAATTGAGTCAGGCAAGAGAACTAAAGGGTTTTCCCTTGCGACTGGAGAGCAAATCAGAATCAAGCTGTTCTTGATCTCGTCCAAGGACATTAGAAGACATGGGCTTTAGGTTATACCTAAGCTGAATATAAAAAACCTAAGCTGAATATTACCAACCAGAACTGTGGGATTACCCCCCCTCCCCCATGCACAATTTCAGAGAACAGGGCAAAAATTCATCTAGTGTTGCCCATCACCTGGGAGCTTGTAGAAAGCAGAACCATAGGTCATAAGACCAACTGACTATGAGTGTTAACAAGATGGCTAGGTAATTATTGTGTACATTAAAGTGTGAAAAGTTCTGGTATAAAATGCAATATTTTCAGATAGCAGGAGGCAAGATAAAAATGAAACAATTGGTAGATTTGTCCCTTTTTTCTTTCCCTCCTTCTGTTTTTCCTGCCTGTGGATCTGTTTTCTATCTATCCATACGTCCATTCTTCCATCTTTCATCAGTCCCTGTATCCACCCATTTATCTCTGAAAATCACCTTCCCAGCATCATATAGCACTGTATTTTTACAGCACTGTGATAGATGCTCTGAGAGGTATCTGAGAAGAAAGCATATTGTTATTAAACTCCTACATAGGAATTCTTGATTGGGACATAAGCAAGTATGCAAATAGACCCATGAGCACACATAGGAAGGCGAAAGCACCAAATATGGAAGTGGCGTGGGTAGAATGTAAAGCAAGGACATGACGGGCACTGGTGACGATCATCAATCAGGGCAAGTTCTTGGAAGAGGTCTGTGCCACCAGGTTTTTGGAAAGATTACCGGAAATATCGATAGCTAATAAGGCATTGTAATTTGGTAATTTCTGAAGTCTCTGAGCCTGAAAATAATGTAAATGCTTCAAAAGTGTGTCTACTGCAGTTATTATTAACAATTGGAGAAAGAGGACAAGAAGAAAGTGAAACAGAATCCAGATAGAAAGAAAAATGTAGATTACCAACAAAAGTGAGCTGATTGTGAGGGGCTTATTTAAAACTTCTGAAGTATTTCATTCATGTGAGAGAATGCGTACAAAATGCAAAAAAGTAATGGAATGAAATGTGTTTATCTGCCATTCTACTGAAAGGGAAAATTATAAGGCATAACTTTAAATGTTTTTAGGAGAACTTTTTCCCCTGATTCCATGTACTTTGTGAAGTGTCACAGGGAACCAGTTAACTGTAATTTCTATTTCCATCACCCGGAGGTAACACCAGCTCATCTACCTGGGGGTGGGCAGGTGTCAGATCTTTCCAGGCTGATGGAGTCAGTGATACCCCTTCATCCACACGTGTATCCTGTGACCTGCCTCGTGGTCTGGAATGTCCGAGTTTATGCTGAGTTGTCCTCTGTGACCTCTGACACACCTTTTGGAGGGTCTTTCATCAAAATCGGTTGATTTGATTGTACTTGGTTCTGTCCCAGTATGCCTCTTCATTCCATGATCTATTATTCCTACACTAAATGTACAGTAGAATATTCCAAACTGGGCTTTTAAAAATTACATTATTGTCATAACAAGATCTGAAGTGCAGTCAGTGTACAGGTGTTGTTCACCATGGGGAGAACATTGTATGAGGGTGGACCCCAAAACCCTGGAATTTGTGTATAAAAAACTGCATTTATTCTTGCATGTTTAAACCTTAGTCACCTTCAACTATTTTCCATTTGATGCAATAAACCTATTGAGACTTTTTTTCCACTGCTCAAAACAGTTTTTGAATATCTCAACCTTGATGCCTTTCAGTGCTCCTGCCGTGTTTTGTTTCACCTCTTCCACATCGGCAGAATGTTTCCCTTTGAGGACGTTTTTCATCCTGGGAAACAAACAAAGAAAGAGTTGCTTGGGGGCAAGATTGGGTGAATAGGGAGGGTGGGGCACGGGGAGGCCATGCTGTTTTTAGTCAAAACTGCAGATCACTCAGCGCAGGGTGGGCAGGTGTGCTTGTAAGTCACCCATTCGTGAAATAGGCAAATGCATTGAAAGAATCTTCAAAAAAAAAATCCCTGAGGCTGAATGCAGCCTCTCACAACAATGCCAGCTGGTTCACTGATACAGATGGGTTCCTAGAACACTCACCTAGTGGGGGAAACCTGTAGTATAAGGGCCCACCTTCCAGAAGATAATTCAGAGATTTTGTTTTTATTCCTCCTTGTACAGCAGATCTTTAGAACTTACTCATCTTGCATTATTTAGACTATGCCCATGAAAATGGGCATTTGACTCAGTAATCATTTTTTCAGGAATAAGAAGTACATAGCCGAGTTGGGGATGGCATTTACTTTTATGTTGGGCATGGGGAAAGCTGAAGGAGAAATGGAGATTTGGGGCCCTCTGGTGGTGGAGGGATGAATCTTCCCAGCAGGCTGAGCTAATGGGTTCCTGGTTGTTCTTGCTTTCAGACGTCAAGCCCTCCAACGTGCTGATCAATACCCTGGGCCAAGTGAAGATGTGCGATTTTGGAATCAGTGGCTACCTTGTAGACTCAGTTGCTAAAACTATTGATGCAGGGTGCAAGCCATACATGGCTGTAAGTACATGGCCCCGGGGTGACTCCTTAGAATGCAGACCCTGCCAGGAGCTAGGAACCGGATGGCTATAGAGGGAAAACGGAAATGTATCTGAGATGCAAGAGATATTCCGTCACCTTTTTTCTTAAATATGTCCTGTCTGGTGTCTTTAGTTACTTGATTCATCTATATTATTTTTTTGAAAAAGGTATATTATTTTAAAAAATAAGCAAAAAGTTATGTTGTTTGGAAAAAAACAACATGTAACTAATGGTCACAGCCCACACAGTTTTCCGCCCTGAGTTGCAGGAGGGTATTACCTTGTTTGTTGAGGACAGAACAGTACATTGAATTTCAATTGCCCACATAAGTCGGCTAGGTCTGTCCTGAGAGAAACTCATAGCTGTGGGCATTCATTGCCATTAGCAGAGACCTTGGGACCCCTTTTCACTTAGAGGATTCCTGTATTCTATGTTGAAATGGACTTGGGCTGGAATTTAAAAATGTCTTGTCCCTGTTGCTCTAAAAGCATTTCAGTCTATTAACACCAGAGGGTAGCCCAGTGCCTCTTGTCCATTTTTTTATTCTTTTTTTAAGTCTTTTATTTTTTTTTAAGATTTTTTAAATTTATTTATCTTTAGAGGGGAAGGGAAGGAGAGAGGCAGAGAAATATCAATGTATGGTTGCCTCTCGTGTGTCTTCTGCTGGGAACTGGCCTGCAACCCAGGCATGAGCCCCGGCTGGGAATCAAACCGTGATCCTTTAGTTCACAGGCCCACGCTCAATCCACTGGGCTACACCAGCCAGGGCTGATGATTTTTTTTTTAAACCAAGTTCTGGGCTGTTGGTGTTTTTAACAAGGAACATTCTTGACTGGCAAAGTAACTTTGTATCCTGGTTCTTCTGGAGGACAATTGAAATTAGTTTTGAATTGGGAGGGGACTTTGATTTATTATTGTCTCCAAGAAAGAAGACTAATTGTAGGATGAGGAGTAACTATAGAGACACTGATATTTATTGTAGTTAGTGAGTCTCTTCGGAGGCAAAGCTAACAGCATCGGACAGCTCACTTAGTAGGTGGTGCCGCCCCTCCCCCCCCCCCCCCGAGACTTTACTGAGCTAAGGACGTCATCTCACTGGTCTCTTTCTGCCTCCTTTCCAGCCTGAAAGAATAAACCCAGAACTCAACCAGAAGGGATACAGCGTGAAGTCGGACATCTGGAGTCTGGGCATCACAATGGTAGTGTTTGATAACCTTCATGGACCGAGAGGTTCTGGGCATGCGCAGGAGTGGGGAGGTCTTGGAGGCCGAGAGGCAAGTGCCCCAAGTGCTGGTCTCAGGCACCCTTCCTGCGTGAGCTGGCAGGGATTCTGAGTGACAGCCGTCTGCAGCGTGGTGTGGAAGAAATGCTGAACTGGGATTGGGCAAACCCAGTTTTTCTCTTTTTTCCACCTCTAAGTAGTTGTATGCCCTTGAGGATGGATGTACATAGGCTGTCTTACTGTCGTCTGTAAAATGAGAGGCCTGCCTGTAATTCCCCATAGTTTTCTTTAAATTACTTTAATCAAGGCACAAGGACCCCGATAGGGCTGTTGTCCAGGACATGGGCAGTGCTTCTCAGAATTCGGTTATGATAGAAGTATTGGCTGTGGGAGTCACATGTGGCTAAAAGACGTGACTCAGTAGTATCATCTCTGTAGGCACAGCCCTCAAGTTATACGATCGGTGCTTAGTTACTAACTTTGGCCATCATTGCTGTTCATTGCGTCACCAAGGCCGGAAGCTTTCTACTGCGGTCCTGACTCTTTCCCAGGCCTGGCGGCTGATTAAATCCCGTGAGCAACTTCATGTTTCTGTCCAGAAAACATGGGATCTTATAACAGGAAAGTGGTCTTTACATCAAGTCCAGAGAAAGATCAGTCCTTCGGTCCTAGGTTGTTTTTATTTTATTCCAGCGGGAGACCTGCAGGTGGCAGCAGACGCACACAGCTCTGAAAGAGGCTGAGTGCGAGAATCATTTTTCCGACTCAGCAATTGAAAAAACGTGGTTGCTTTCCATCCTCAAGTTCAAGACCACTAGCTTGTAATTTTAAAGTACCACAGTGGGTTTTGGTGAGCACCCAGTTTTAAATAGGCTTAGTAAGGTAGTATTTGAAAATCCCTAGCAGTAGGAACTGGGGGAAATGTGTAGAGAACATAGTTTTAGTTCATTTCCCTCTGAAGTTGTCCTTGAACTTCACCATCGTTTCTTTCCACTGGTTCTCCTGGGAGAAAACCCCGTGGTCTCTGTAAAGGACCCACGTGTGAGCTGCTCTCTCCCTGTTTTCCTCTCCCCTCCAGATTGAGTTGGCCATCCTTCGGTTTCCCTACGACTCGTGGGGAACTCCTTTCCAGCAGCTCAAACAGGTGGTGGAGGAGCCGTCGCCACAGCTCCCAGCAGACAAGTTCTCCGAAGAGTTTGTGGACTTTACCTCACAGTGGTAAGAGAGCCTCGTCTCCCAGACGCTGTGTTCAAGGAAGAAGAGTTCTCATGAATACCCTCCATCGGGGTTAAGCCATTATGCATACATTCATTCCAAAAGCATTTATGGAGTGTGCCCTCCTTGCTGGAGCAACAGAGATGCTTCTTCTGTTCAGTGCCCGCCCTCACCGAGCTCAGAGTCAAGCAGGGGAGTCTCATCCACCAATAATTATCATACAACACGGCAGGCCCAATGATGGAGATATTCATAGGGTATGGGGGGGGGAACTCAAAGAAAAGGCATTACGATAGCGTTTCTGAAGGAGATGTATCCTGAGCTGAGACCATGTGAGATAGTCTCCAAGTGAAAGGCAAGTAGGGGAAGGAAGGATATTCCAAGCAGAAAAAAACATCCTGCATCTTGTCGCAAAGCAAGAGACTCCATTATGGGAGCTTGAAGCAATTGGATGTTGGTTGGAGTATAAAGAGAAGGATGGTAGGACCCACTGGGGGTTTTGAGATAGGAAGTAGGTAAGATGTAAAGAATGAGCTTGGGTGAGAAGGCGGCGGCTAATTTCAGAGTGTTTCTTATGTACCTAGAAGTCTTGCGATAGTTCCAGTGGTTAGTAGGCTGTCTCCGACAGAGTACTTGCTGGCTGTGGATCCCTGTGCCCATGGCCATTTGATGGACAGCAACTGGGGTCTGAGAAGAGAATCTAAAGATAGTTGGAGTGGAAAGATAAAAGGAGCCATACTAATGCTGTGAACTTTGCTTGTATCAAAATTGCCAGTGGAATCAAGGATGCTGATGTTGAGAGGGGATAGTTTTCTTCAGAAAATCTAGTGATTTCTGCATCAGGACCATGTCGCCTAACGTAACTTGATGCTCACGGCCGTTGCAAGTAATGCTGGGAAGTGATGGTGGCGAGGGAAAGCACAGAACGGCGCCGAGTTAGTTTAGTGGGGCGTCCTGCGGACACTGGCGAGAATGGGGAGGAGGGGGAATCAGAGATGGTCACGGGCCAAGCTGGGGCTCTCAGACAGGAGCAGGGCCGGCCACTTGCTGTGGAGGAAGGGGCAGGAGTTCTGAAGGCTGTTCGAGAGTCCAGTTCCTTCAACATTGCTATCCCTTGGCTCCCAGGCTCTTTGGAAGAAGCATTCTGAATACAGCTTTTATTGGGAAACGTGCTGAGTTGAAGCAACTGTCTCTGGCTGGTGCAACTGAGGCCTCTTGGACTCTTTGTTAGCTCTAGCCCCTTGTCACCTCTGGTACTTGCCCCTAATGATGTATGAGGGAGGCCTACCATCGTTTTTGCTTTGCCTGGATGCCAGAGAGGGACTGGAGCACTGAGGTCTAGTACTAAAGGCTCTAGCATCCCTTACATTATGATGGTGGATCCTCCGGACTGCCAACGTGTGTCCTCCTGTCTTCTTTCTTGGGGATGTGACAGATATGGGGGTGCCCCTGTGAGGGTGAGATGGGCTCATGATTTTGCCTTATGCAGTTAAAATTTTTTCCTTTTCATATCCAGAAGTCATGTAGGAAAAGGGATGAGTCATTTTGGAGAGTTTGGACCAACTATTCTCAAGAGGGGCGGTAAGGGTCTTAACTAGAGAAGTCTTTTCAAACTATCCTTATAACCCTTGTCCTGCTTGCCCCTTTTCCAAGATTCTGGGTACTTCAGAACACTTTGGTGAGAACAAGGCTGGTGTGAAAGGTTCTGGAAAGCTGACCTGCCTTTGGTGAATCACCAGTTTAACTCAGTAGCTCTCAGCTCTGGCTGCTCACGTATGAACTATGAGAGAGCTTTCCTGTGCCTGGTCTGCTTCACCCAGGCCTCCCCCCCCCAGAGATGCTGGTTTCACTGGGCTGAACAGTAGCACTGTCCAAGTGTCCTCCAGTCCTTGTACTACACAGCTGGGTCAAGAGCCCCAAACTTAGACCTGTGAACCCAGTGCTTGTGTCCAGGAGCTGCTTTTCTTCTTCAATGTATTGTTTAAAAAGCATCCAATTACATTTTTTAGCCAAGTATTTCTTTCTCTTAGGATTTCTCTTAAAGAATCAGAGTGTTAAAGCTTTTTATAGATATTTAAAAAATGAAAACCTTGAAAAAAATCAATGCGCACTATTTTTAATGTATGTGCACGGATGTGGAAACCCCAGACACTTGTATTACTGTTCTTTATATAGTGTCACCCCCTGTCCGCCCACTCTGTCCCCCCTGTCCCCCCCACTGCCACCTGGAACACTCGTGGTCTTCATGATGGCCCTATCCGAGGTCTCCGTTTTTCTTTCTTTTTCTCCCAATTTCAGTCCCAGCTACTATAGCTTGTAAATTTAAAACTTATGAGCCGTAGACATTTTCCAGCTTTCCTGGAACCGTCAATCCTGTTAATACTGTTAATTCTGTTTCATTTTATTCACACTCAAGGCAGCTTGTCTGGGTTGCTGATGGGATTTACTGAGACAGAGAAGAAGAGAGGGAGAGAGAAAACTCAAAATCACTAGCATTGAAGTTGTCAGAGAATACAGTCTTCTTCAGACTTTTGGTGCTGTAGAATGTGGTGCTTAAGAGTATCAGTTGTGTGAAAGCGGACTCATTTTGCTGGTATGGGAATTGCAAAGTAGAGGGGGAATTTTACGCATGTTCTTACTTATGCTTGGTCAAATATTTTAAGAGTACAGGCTCTCCTATTTCACGTGCCATATCAGGAGCTTTTTGCCCATCATAAACCAATATAGTGTCTTTGATACGTCCTTAGTGTGACCACTATTTTGAAGCTGAGTTGGGAGCATGATGAGATGCTTCCAAAAATGGTGCTGATTTGAAAAAAAAAGATTTTACGAATGGCTTAAATCTTTACGGAAGCATTTTTATTTTCCATACGTATTAGCACACAGATGTATAACCTTCCCCAGTGGCTGTCTAATTATTCCACTTGTTTTATTTCTGCTAGTTTTAAAGTTTGATCTGGAGCTGGGTGGAAAGGATGGAAAAATGATAACAACCTAAGAAAACCTCTTCTATTTCACGATGAAGAGAAGGACAGAGCCTCTGAGTGGAACTTTTTTTATGGCTGTTTCTCTTTTTTTCTCTGTGAAAACTGTATTTCTGAGACACATTTTCATGGAAGAACCCCTTTTCTGAGTCATCTCTATGCATTTTTTGTATTTTTATGACCTAACCAGGCTATGATCCTTCCAGACATCTCAGAAAGCCCCAACTCTTTGTCGTAAGTCAGGGAAGAAAAATACGGATTTAGAAAGTAAAACATTTCATTTCAAATTTCAAGATAAATACATCTATGTCTTTAACTTCTACATCTGTCTCTGAGCTACATGCAGAAGTAGAAGAGAAAGGGTGCATCCTTCATAGCCTAGGGAATCCGTCGGAGTATTCGTGGTCTTTGATGGAAGACGTCCCCACTAAGCTTCTGCTGACATGATGGTGGTGCTAAATACTCTACACCAGCCCAACCTCTTTGGCACCAGGGGCCGGTTTTGTGGAAGCTAATTTTTCCATGGGCTGGCGTGGGGGGCTGGTTTCAGGATGTCTTCTAACAGGCCCCGAGGTTGGGGACCCCTGCTCTACACCTTCATCCAGGGAATCAGCTTGGTCCTCTGATCGCTGCTGGTGGTTTGTGGGTTAGAGGAGGAAGCACTCACAGGCCACCTCTATCACACCCTAAGTTCGAGCCACAGCCCAGAGATCCAGCTGATACCAATTTCTTTTGTAATAACATCAGAGAAACATTATCTTGAGGAGAGGGGTGGAGAAAAGAAAACGCTCAGGCATTTATTCCTTATGAACTTGAAGAACAAAAACACAGTGAGAGTTTCCAAACCCTTCCTTTGTGTACTTATTTTGAAACGGGGACTCCTGAATGGTATGTTCTTCCTCTTTTTTCCTCACCCAAGGCCTTCTTATCATAGAGGTTTGAAGGAGCTCCTGGGATAAGTCGTGCTGACCAGGTACACCGAGTTGGGAGTTTTAGCATAGAGAAGTCTGATAGAAAAGCTATCCCTTCTAGGCCTGCAGAAGGCTTAACAAATGAGTTTCTCAAGACAGTATCTTTGCAGGCCTAAAGTTTTTACCATAACCTCTTCCTGTAGGTTCATGGGCTTGGGGACTGAAGGCAGTCACTGGAAACCAACTCCCGAACCCCAGAATAGCTGGATTTCCTTTTCTCTTTCCCTTGAGGCCGATTGAAGAGGCTCAATGCCCAGCTGACCGGCCTGCCGGCATGGCGGTGTGTGTTGGAGGCCCATCCAGACATGGATCCCGTCTGACTCAGAGGAACTAGTGTAAAACAGACACAGGCCAATATAGTTCCCAACTTGTTCAGGAAAGACAGCAAAAAGAGGCACTGGACATGTATTTAGCTTATGACATAGGTATGGCTTGAGAGGCGGAGTGTGTTTCTATTTTGTGGATGTACCACATAGACTTCTTGGAAACCATGGGAGGGGGTGGGGAATTCGAATAGGCAGAAATCCTCTGGTCAGCACAAACGTCAAGCTAGCAATTCTCAAGACAGCACGAAGCTGTGTTTTAGTGTCGGCCATGGTCAGGAGCGTGTGTTGTGGCACTTGGAAGAGGAATTAGGGCTGTTAGCTAATTGCACGCTTGAAAATGACAAGCCACTTGAAAATTCAAAAGTCTGACTTCACTCCAAAAAGCAATTGGTGTAGCTTTGAACTCCACAGTTGTTATTTTATACCGAATTTCAAGCACTTCCTATTAAACATGGAAGTTAGCCTTTTCGCCTTACCCTATACTACTTTGCTATTCTTAGGCCATGTTTTGAAGTGTTCTCAACTTAAAATATAGAGGGAATGGGTTCTATCTGTTATGTTAATTTAATAAACAGCGTTGGTTTGCTGTGTAAGCATATTATTCATTCACACAGCCGTGTTAAATTTTGAGCTTTCTAATCAGGGACCGTAAATCAAGAATGAGCCTACTGGTTAGCAATCTCTGAGATTTCAGGAAATCTTATCACAATATGCCAGATAAACTTGGGGTACTTTCCCCACATTTTCTTTATACAGATCAAAAAAATACTAGCGACATTTTCTTAAACTCTTCCGGAAGTGAAAAGACATGATGATGTAAAATTACCTTTCCTTAAAAATGGAAGTTTCAAGTTCTTCTACCTGAGGAGAAAAGAGACTATAATTTCACTATCTACTAAATAAAAGGTTAGAATTCAACAGCCGTGCAAAGATTTCTGGTGGACGAAAGAGGCCATTGTTTTTAACATTTGGGAAACAAGCCCTTCTCCCCAACTCTCATGCCCGTGGGGCGTGGTCCCCAAGGGGAGTGTTTCAGAGACCGTGTGGAGTGAGGGGCTGTTGGCTGATTGCATGTTCCGTCCACCAAACCACTTCCATATGGGGCGTGGATGTAATGTTGAATTCATGTTTCTCATTCTTGATTTTAGCAAGGTAAATTGTTCGGATTATAGAGAAGACATTCTGGTTTTTTATTTGCTCTGGAACAATAGCTGGAGATGTAGGGCTTGTAGGGCTTTTGTATATTAGCCTGTTTGGTTTTTTCACCAGGGTCTCTGCGTATAAGTCAGCAACACTCCTGAGATCACATTTCTGCTTCTGTGTTTCTTTCTTGGTGAAGTGGCTCTTGAATTTAGAAGGAAGGACTTTTGCTTTCAGGGGTGAGGGCAGGGAGGGGCGGTTGTGGTGAGAATGTGCCCAAATGTCAGGCGAACCAGCTGGAGATGCCTCTGAGTCAGCAATTTTCAACCCATGTGCCGTGAGAAGTTTTAAAATACTGAACACCTAACTATGTAGTCAGGGGTGCTGACCTCTTTTCCCTTAGATTGGCAGATAAAAAAATGACAGCAGCCAATGCAACAATAGCAGTCTGGTGTGAATGAATCAAAATTATAACTATTTTTTTCTTCTCAGATTGGCAAAAAATAAATTTTGGGGTGTGCTGTACAACTTCAGTAATTAGTTTATGTGTGGCATGAGATGAGAAAGGTTGGAATTGCCGTTCTAAGTGAAATTCATTCCAGAGAAGGTGATAGGAGGTAGCAAACAGGACGGACACCCAATGTACTTGGTCCCGGATTTCTCAACCTTGGCACTAGTGACATCTGGGGCTGGATCATTCTTTGTCACGAGAAACTGTTCTGTACATGAGAGGATGGTTAGCAACATCCCTGGCCTCTGCCTGTAGCTGCCAGGACCACCCTCCTCTCCCACCAGCTGTGCCAACCAAAACGCTTCCAGACATTGCTAAATACACCCCTCAAGGGCAAAGTGCCCTATAGCTGAGGACCACCAGGAACGCCCTAAGGAATCTCAGGGTATAGGGACATGCCGAGTCATAAGGGGGAGTGACGAGGTATCATTCATTTCACTCAGGCGCACCTTCCCATGTCGATCCACTTTGACAGTTGATAACTCTTCTCTCTAATTCCCTCTTTATTGTTGTCCTCAGTTGAGATGAAACTTTCTCTCATAGGTTGTCTGGTCACTGAGGTCACTAGGTCCTAGATCCGCCCTCAGTTCCAGACTGAAACTTCTCTCCTCACATGTACCTGCACCCTGTCTCAGGTCCCCTGGCTTCTACCCACAGAATTGCCTGCAGTAAACTGGTAGGCTGCTTTCAGTTGTTTTGGTCCAAAAGCTTCCTCTTTTCTTCATTTCAATTTATTTTAAACCACAGTTTCTCAAAGTGTCTCAACTACTTCACTCTTTTGTGGTTCTGTACTGGGCTCCCACCGCCCTGGTTGCGGGGCTGTGTCCTACAGACCAGGTCTCATCTGCTCCAAACAATCCATTCACACAGATCCCAGCAACCTAATAACCAGTCCCATTGTGCTTCCGTCAACACCAGGCAAAGTGCCTTTCCATTCATGTCTGACTTGTGACCCAATGGGCAGGGCAGTCTGTAGGTTGCCTTGCAAATCATAGTTTTAAAAATCATCCTTGTCTCCATTTTGTAACCTGGGATTCCAACTCCAAATAAACCACTTCTTTTGTTTTTTCCATTTTTAAGGCTCGGGATGGATACAGGGTGGGTGGAGGAATGGGTTTCTTCTGATTACCATTTTATGACCGTTGTCTGCAATGTCAAATGTCATTCAAATGTCTGTGTATATAGACAGCTGAATCCATGGGAGCCACCCGGTAGGAGTGCATGACCACAGAGTCTTTCTGAGAAGCGTGCTTCCCAAGTCAGAGGCTGGGTGTGCTTTCTTTTCCCGAGAACACAAAGAGGCCCGCAACGAGTGGCGCTGCCTTACACACCGCATTGTGTGTATTGTGTCTGTCTCAGGCAGGTTGGGTTAAGACTACATAAAAGCAAATGATACGTTCAGGGGTGTCAGAAGCAAGGGAAGGAACCTATCAAAGATAGTGAAGCGATAACAAATGTAAGAAACGCTGACCAAGGCGGGTGGAGTAAAACTTGTTTTGAAGGAAAGTAGAGCCGTATTTTGAAATATAATGGCTGTCGATTGGAAAAGCTAGTTTATATGGTGCCGGTAAAGTAAGTATCAAAGGAAAGTGAGCACGGCGCACACAAACACGAAGACACACAGACCTACTTTTCCCCGTAAGGTGCACCAAGAGTGATTTAAACCACAATTTATAAGCGTTAATAGAAGAAAGGCAGGATAGAAGATCTATGGTTTTGGTACACTTTTAAGGCTGGTTAAGTTTAGTTTTCAACAAGTTCTGCAATGCTCGTCTAGTGATAATACAGATGGTTTCTAGCTTTAATGTGATTTATTTTTTTCTTTAAGCTTGAAGAAGAATTCCAAAGAACGGCCGACATATCCAGAGCTTATGGTGAGTATTGTCAGTGGTGTAAACGTGTCCAAACTAAGCTAGTAAAGATAAAGTGACTAAGTGACTAAGACCTACATTAGAGTCGAACAACCATACTGAAGTGCCGACTCAGTGAGATGTTGGTAACTGGAAGGGAACCGAAGAAAAAAAGAGTTGAGTGCTTCATCCTAAATCCTTCTTCACTATACACAGGGGTAGGTTCCCAGTCTGAGCACTTTTTCCATGCTGATAAACAATGTCGTAGACCAAATTATGTCTATAAGACTTATATTTTCAAACTTCAAAGATACACAGTCACAAATTACTAATACACAATGAAGGAAAGCATGATTTAACAGATTTTAATTATGAGAGAAATTTAAGTGCTACATGAGTGACCAATTTTTGATAAAATATTTAGGATTACTTGGATGAACTTCTTTTTGGTGGGTGTTTAGGGAGGAAAGAATCTCTTTGTTTTTTTCCTTCTGGTTTTTACTTTAGTGGAAAAAAGACAAAGCCTTAATAATTGGAATTATACAGCTTCAGCATTCACAGTTTTCCATTTGAAGGACCTATGAAAAAAGAGTGAAAATAAGACTTCAGGTTTGTTGTTTTAAAATAGTTTTGTTTACGTTGTGGTACCTACATTTCTAAGCTAGTTATTGATAAGTGATTCTATTTTTTTTTAAATCCTCACCCAAGGACATTTTTTTTTATTGTATTTGAGAGACAGAGAGATCAGTGTGAGAGAGAAACATCAATAGGTTGCCTTTTGTATATGCCCCGACTGGGCACGGAACCTACAACCTGAGTATGTGCCCTCACCTGGTATCGAACCCACAGTGTCTTGGTTTATGGGACAGTGCTCCAACCGCCTAAGCCACACTGGCAAAGACCAAATGATTCCTTCAGATACCTAAATTGATCATTCTTATCTCATTATATGTTGAATGGTTGAACGTGGGAGAAACACCTTTTTTTGAAATATAAAATTTAGACTATTTACTAATTTGTGTTAACCACTCCCTACATCTGATACAATTATCAAGGTTTTAGTTTTAGCAGGGGATGGAAGGGTTCTGTTCATGCACAATCTCAGAAGAGACCAGAGACAGCAGTGACCGCGTTCCTACTGGAGTGCAGTTACTCAGCGGGCACTGAATGCTGGCTCCTTTCCCTTCACACACAAGCCATGCTCGGCTGCAGACCGACTCAGGGCAGGCGATACCGATACAGGGTCCTGCTATCTCTTAACAAATGGTCAGATGAGGCGGCTCTGACTTGGAAAAGGTATAGCTTGTTGGCCATCTGTACATCTTCTTTGGAAAAAATGTCTCTTCAGTTCCTTTGCCTATTTTAAAATCAGACTTTTTTTTTTTTTTGCTATCTAGTTGTATAAGTTCTTTATATAATTTGGATATTAATCCCTTATCAGATATATGGTTTGCAAATATTTTCTCCCATTCTGTAGATTGCCATTTCATTGTGTTGATTGTTTCTTTTGCTGTGTAGAAGCATTTTAGTTTGATGTAATCCCACTTGTTGATTTTTGCCAATAAATACATTAGTGAAACCATCAGTGAAACGCAAATGAAAACCACCAGGAGATATTATCTCACACCTGTCAGAGTGGTTTTTATCAAAAAGGCAAGAGATAGCAAGTGTGAGTGGGGGTGTGGAGAACAGGGTACCCTTCTCTTGGTGAGAATGTAAACTGGTGCAGCCACTATGGAAAACAGTATGTAGGTTCTTAAAAAAAATCAAAATTAGAACTCCTGTGTGATATAGCAACTCCATGTCCGGGTGTATATTTGAAGAAAAGGAAATCCTTATCTCAATCCCATGTTCATTGCAGCAGCATTTGCAATAGCCAAGGCATGGAAATAATCTAAGTGTCTTTTGGTGGATAAATAGGTGAAGAAGGTGTGATATACACACACACAAAGGAATATATTGTTCAGCCACAAAAGAAAGAAATCCTGCCTTTTGCGAAAGTGTGAATGAAGGTTGGGGGCATTATGCGAAGTGAAATAAGCCAGACAGGGAGAAACACAAATAAATTCCATATGATCACACATATGTGGAATCTAAAACACTAGCACTCATGGAAATCGACAGTAGATTGGTGGTTGCTGGGGCAGGGGATGGGTGGTGGAGGTCATAGGGTACCGTCTTCCAGGTATAAGATAAAGAAGTTCTGGGAATATGATGTACAACGTGCTGACTCCAGTTAACAGTACTGCCCTGTGTACTAGAAAGCTGATAAAGAATAACTTTTTGATTAAATCTAGGGAAAGGAAGGAGAGGGAGAGAACTCCCACAGCCTCCCCCCCCATCCACTGAGCTACACCAGCCAGGGCTAACTTTTAAATGTTTTCACCACACAAAAAGAATGGTAACTATGTGAGGTGGTAGATGTGCTCCTTAACCTTGTTATGCTATTTTGCAAAAATATATGTATGAAATCATCACGATGCACACCTTAAACTTGCACGATGTTATATGTCAGTTATATCTCAGTAAAGCTGTGGACAAAGAGAAAAAGTATAGTTTGGAGATGTCAAGCCCGGAAGAGTTATACAGAGCTGATTCAGCAATAGGTGATAGCCACAGCCAAACTCATGGATTTTCAGTCCTGTGGGTGAAGCTTTGATTTAAGTCTGGACTGTTCTCCAGTTGGGTGACTGAAAAGGAACTCTGGGAAGTTTGAAAAGAGATGGGTGGCTCTGTGGGCCTCCATTGTCCCCTTTCAAAGGGTTCCCCTGCGACTCAGCATTCCACCACGTTTATTAAACTGACACCCACAGCTGAGGGAGAAAAGGTGAATAATGCTTGAGAAAATCTTAGCATACTACATGTTTGGGTTGAACATTTCCCCCCAGTTGGGTTTGTCATAGCCAGCCGGAGAGGGGTCTTTTCAGTCCTGGAGTCCCCTTTGCTGGGTGCGTATGCATCCCCCAGAGCATTTGAACATTAATTTCACATAAAGCACAATAGACATGAGTAATCCCTGTGGGGGTCCTGTGGAACATTTCCTATATAATTCTGACTGCAAAATGCAAACCTTTACTTTTCCTTCCAAGTGACTTCTTATCAGAGGTTTCAGTGGAACACACTTGAGAAAAAATGCCAAGTTCCAGCTTAATATACACCGGCAGTGGATGTTGGATTCTACCTTTCTGGTGTATTCTAATGCTGTGGTCTTTTGTGGCTGACATATCAATGTGGTAAGGTTGTGTGGGCAGCCTTTTCCTTTTAGGGCATTAGTCTTTGTGGTACTGGAACTGGACTTGCCTTTTAAGGCCATAACTGCTCCCTGCTTTTCTTTGGAATTGAGGTTTTTAAGTGGAAAATCTGAGTCCAAACTCTTTGACTTTAGCACTGGGAAAATGCGTGCCGAGAAGCCATTGTTTAGATTGTAGGAGTTGGTGAAGAGGTAGAAAAGAAAACAAAAATCCTTTCCCCAGGTGAAGGACACTGTAATTAGGGCCCCAACCCAGACATAGACCTCTTATAGAAATCTCAAATGTTTTTCTTTCTAACTTGGATTGGGTGGGTGTATTTGTTTTCATATCATCTCATTTGCTTGTTCTCCCTAACTCCCCTTGGAGGATTTGTTCTTCCAGACTACAGGCCAGCTTTTTCTGCAAAGGGTTAGAGAGTCAGTGTTTTAGGCATTGTGGGCTGTCATTATTGTTCACTTGTGTTGTTGGACTGTGAGAGTAGCCATATTCAGTATGTAAACAAATGGATGTGGCCATGTACCAATAAAACTTTATTTGGAAAATAGGAAGTGGGCTAGAGTCGACCCCCGTCCCAGATGTTAATCACCAGAAATCATAACCAGGCAACACAAGTGATTGCCTGGTGAGGTTCTCCACACATCCTGGGACATTCTCAATTGAATCACAGTGTTAAACCTGCTGACTGAACCCATTGTCCTGAGGGATGACCTGCTATACGTAGGATATGGGGAGCACTGGTGACCGTATCGTGCCCTCATGCTGCTGGCTGCTGGCTGCAGTCCGTTTGTGGATATCCATGTTTTCTCCAGGCACAGCCACTGGTGAAGTCCTTCCTTCCTGTACCTGACTCCTTTTTTTTTGAGAAACCCAGCCTGGAGATGATTTCATGGTGCCTAATTTGCTCATCTCTTGGTTGCTGTCCTTGTTATTCTTAGTGCGCTGCTTATAGAAGGGACTGGGTTCCCCCTAACCTTTTACAGCCTCCAAACCCACACAAGAAGGCGAGTCACTTTCCATTTTGACATGCCTGCTGCTTCCCCTCTCTCTGCCCTCTGGCTCTCACAGCATTTTCCCAGCCTGAGAATAAACTGAAAGACGTCTGAGAATTGTTTTTTTAAGATGTCAGGTCAGGTTATTGAATTCATTCACAGACTTGGGCTACATCCACTGAGCTCAAAGCCACCAGCAGAACCAGAGGCAATATGGGGCTGGCGGGCCTGGCACGCAGTCCTTGAGGTAATCTGAGGTTTAACATGTCCTGTTTTGATAGTCAAAGGCTTTTAAGTACATTAAAAGATCGCCAAATGTCAAGAGGATGTGGGAAAGCTAATAAGCATGATGGTAAAGCACTTGGTAAGTGTGCTGTGTAAGTGGTTAGTAATCAAAAGTAATGCTGTATTTATTTATCCAGAGAGCTCACGACCAAGGACCCAACATCAAGAGCTTCAGTTAATATAGTGGGTGTGAGGCATGGAGCCAGCACCCAACCTTTATCTTCAGATAGGCAAAAACAGCAAACCTCTTTCCATTTTCTGTGTCCTGATACTTAGAAGTGACCTCCTACCTTCTTTGGGGTTTTATTGTTTTGTTCCTTTCCCATTTGCATTGTTTCCTAAAACTTGCATGGGTGGGCATTCAGTTCCCCACAGAGCTGACTCATCCAGCCCTCCGCTGTCAGGTTTAAAACAAATATAATTAGAAAACCTACAGCTAGGCAACATGAAGGTTATAAACTAAAATCCCCAGTCAGGGAAACAGAGTGAGTCATCTACATACTGGTCTGCATGCAGAAATGCTCATATTTAGCTGCTCTCCCAGTCATTGAAAATGATGCCATCAGACAATCAGGAAGGTGACCACGGGGGGCAGCAGGAGCAGCGGGGAGCGATGCCTGGTGCCCGGTCTACTCGAAGGGATCGTCCTCATTGATTTGGCTGGTCGGTTCTGTTTCCCCTCTGAGAACCGTAGATCATGAGCTGATGTATCTCCTTTTAGTTAGAGGTGGTAGGTCCCAGTGTGACTGCTGGGTACCTACTGCAGTGAAAATGAGCCATTCAGGGAGGATGGTTCTGGTGCAGAGAAGATGGCTTTGTTTCCTTCAGAATTGTTTTGAAATGTGCAGCCTCTTGTGTCGTACCATGCTCATTCCCCCAGCACCATGCTGGATTGCTGTTTTGTGAAGTTTACTTAATCTGACCCGTGTGAATACAGACCATTCCTTTTGCTTTTCAATCACTAATCTCCGAGTTGAATCTTCTCCACACAGACCTAGAGTTTGGCAGTCTACATTACTTTTCAGAAGCATCAACTCTTCCTCAGGAGAGACATACATGTAGCTCGTGGCTGTAGATGTAGCTTAGAAAGTGGCTTTGTTTGGTCTTTCAGTGCAGACTCGCCCTCCCATGTCAAGAACGGGCAATGCCTTACCCGTTTACTGTTCCACCAAATTGGTCTTTTACTCACTCTGCTACCTGTTGCCTGAGAAATGGCTGTGCATACACCCATGACATTTCTAATTATTTTGCTGCCATATCAGTCTGAAATTACTTTGTAGGGAACAGGGTTATTTGTAAATCGGAGTTGGGACTGTCTTTGCTGGCCCTTGTATTTTACCATAGATGAGATCTGTGTAGCCTAATTTCATTTATATTTTTAAGCTATAGATACGGTGTAGTGGAAACATTCTGACATGGGAGAGTGGCGACTAAGAGGAGATATCTTTCAGATGTTTGTATCACCAGATGTGTACTTGATTTGGGACGGGGTAGGAAGAGTCCAGTGAAGCCCTGATAGGCACACTTACTGTGTTGATCAAACAGCTCTGTTAATTAGCTAATTTCTTATGTTGTCAGTGACAAATATTAATACCATGTATTTTTCTTTTCTTTCCCAGCAACATCCATTTTTCACCCTACACGAATCCAAAGCAACAGATGTGGCATCTTTTGTAAAACTGATTATTGGAGACTAAAAGCAATGGACTCAATCAGTGGACCCTCCTGTGGATTGGTGGGTTTACCGGGTGACGCAAGTTTACTAAAGCGCCAATAGAAACTCATCTTTGAGATAATTTAACCCTGCCTCTCAGTAGGCTTTTTTCTCCCCATTTTCTTTTTTTTTCCCCTCCAAAAGGGGCCTTGAAATCTATAGTATAGAATGAACTTCTGGATGGATGAAATAGAAAGGCTTAGGACTTAAAAAGGTGATTAAATATTTAATGATGTGTCATATGAGTCCTTAAGCTTCTCAGACTTTCTTGTTCTTTACAAAATGAATGCATTGGCCCTGGAAAAAAGGTGCTACAGTAGTGACGACATTGTAAGTAGATTTGTAGTCTGTCCAACTTATTATTTTAATATTTATGTTTAAGCGCTTGGTTGAAAAGATCTCATTTTATGCAGGGAGGGAGATACAAAAGACGAGGTTGGTTTGGCAATATTTATAGGGCTTTTATTTTTTAAGTTCAATTGTGTCTGTGGTCCAGAGGAAATTATTTAATATGCATCTTTAAGAGTATTATAAAAGTATCAACAAGCAGCTCTTCTTGTGAAATATCTGTTTCAGCTGTTGCGGCTGCCGCATGTTCTCCAATTTCTGCTCAGTCCTGGGTAATAACCACATATTCTAGGTGAAGTGGCAAGGTATCCTGGTCAGACTCTTTTCCTAACTTTGAAAAACAAAAATCATTGTTATCATAACTCAAAGAGTCACCAATTTGGTTCTCTTGACATTTGTGGTATAGTATTAATGGAATGTGATTCGTGATGTAATTTTCCTATCACCCATCTTTCTGTCTGTGTGTGTGTATATTTGATAAGTCACACATTCTGCCAAATGGCTTCTGTGAACATCCATATTTAGTAAGGAGGACATTTGTCAGTCCCGAGAAGGGAGTATCACATCAAACCACACAGAGAATTTGTTCTTCCTGCTGTTGTCCCTCCTACAATGTACAAATCCCAAGGACTGCCTTGTAGTTAACGTACTCTTTTACTTTGTTTGTTTGTTTGTTTTCTTGTTCAATGACGAAGCCTTACTACTAATGGAAGGGCTGCCATAGAAGAAAATTAAAGGCAGTTAGTCGTCCCTTGATAAGATGAGGAGATAATGGGGAGGGGTGAATTTTTCCTAGGAATAATAGACTGCCAAATTTCCACGAGTTGAATTGAGGCCACGGCCTTCCTCAGTAGCATGCAGTGGCTTGCTCCACAGTAGGAGGCTAGCTGCACTGTGCATTCCAAGCAGACTGAGTAAACAATGAACAAGAACTCTTCCTTGTGGCCAATGGGTTCTCTGATCTGGGCTTTAGGTTCCTGGAAGGTCAAAGGGTGAAGTGCTCCACAGGGAACATAACTACCGATTCTAACCCAGACACATTGCTTTTGGAACATCAAGGCTACTGTTGGCAGTACAAGGGCAGAAGATTTTGATAAAACGAGGAAGAAGAGGATACACTCTGTTTCTTTTCTTGTCTCAAATTCACAAATATGAAGAGATGATTGCTCCCCTAGTCCTCCCATTCTTCCCCTTTTAGATTTTGAAGTGCAATTATATTTTTCTCTGTTTGCATTTTCTCTTGGTTGTTGACCTCTAGCTCACAGCAGTTGCCCAAAGTGGCTATGGCATTTCCATACACATCTTCATGTTCGGTTGCAAGAGATACCTGTTTGATTCAACGTCCGTTTCATCTGCTCTGAAGCTACCTCTGTTCCCATCTTTTTCCAGCCAGCAAAGGGGTGTTATCCTAGTGGTCATGACAATTCATTTTCTGACCAATCTTTCTACATCTGCAAGTTTCCCTCCAAGTCAGAGAAGAAAAAAAAATCGCAACTGTATTTCTTGCTTTATTTATCCATCTTATGAAAAAAGAAAGTAGTAGAAACAAATCTGAGGTCATTCCATTACAGCTTTGTGAAATATGTAAAGCAAAACATCTTTCTGGTCTGGGTCAGATTACTCTTAACTGTTATTCAGTGTGGTTTCTACTTGGAAATATTCTTAACCAAGTGTGTTTCTCATGTATGCACATCTCCATTCGGTAAGCCCAGGGCCTGAGCTTCCAGAACAATCATACTGGGGTAGAGATGTTAGTTAGTGGTTCTCAATTTTGGTGAGCATTGGAGTAGCTTGGAGCTTGGAATATCATCAATGTCAGGGTCCCCAAGATTTGGATTCCCCTGGGCCCTGGGTGGGGCCTGGGAGTTGGTATTTTTCATAAGCCGCTCATGTGATTCCGAGGTGTACCAGGATGGAGAACACTGGTGTAGTACCTCGTAAAGAAAGACTTGACTTAAAATTTGTCTTGAACATTTGCAGAGAGTAATGAGTGGCTGCAGAGAGGAACAGGAGCCCCCACTTCTTTCTCTGTCCTCACCAGTGGGGACATCTTTGCCACCGTCAGAGAAGGCATGCTCCTGCAATACTGATTTGGACTCTGGGACGTTTTTTCCCCAGGGACATGATGTATTGCATGATGGTTAAGTATCTTATGTACCAGAGTGGAATGACTTGATAGCCTTACAAGTCTAAAGTTTAGAATGTGCTTTTTGAGAACTGTGTTATAAGTTATAAACAACTAATATTATAATAAATATAGAGATGCATAAACTATACCTAAGTTGATATAAGTTGGGAATCTCCTGTATATACATATATGCATATATATGTATACAAATGTATATGTACAGCTGTATATATACACACACATACACACTTGTAAGTATATACAGATAATACATATACATACAGGTAAGTATATATGTGTGTGTGTATATATCTATATAAAAAGAGAGAGAGAATGAGAGGGAGGTGTAGACCAGTCAGAATACCTCTACAAAAGAGGTTATGCCCTTTTTTTCAAATGTATTTGATTTGGTATCATATCATTGTTTATATTCTAAATCGGATTTATGTTTATAAAACTGTCCATCTACATATAGCTCGTTGATTGCCAAGGGGTGCCAAAGAGGTAATGCGAATGACTTTAAGACCGTTGCCTTATATGTGTTTGCATCACTGAGTGTCGTCCTTCGGGGCAGCCACTGTAAAGACTGTCCATTTATATAAAAAGTGCTGGAAAACATTTTTGCCCCTTCCCTCTCCTTCAGGAAGGGCTTCGGAATCCATGTCCTCGCCCACACGTGTGACACGCAGAATCGTTTTATAATTACTCCTTAGCTGTTCATTTGCTTTACAAAAATCCTTACCAGGTATTTTTCTCCTTTGCTTTACCTGACTTTTATGATCAGACTTAGTGCCAAGTTGTGTTTGGCAATTTCTAGAATTCAAATCCACCCTCGCAGCTGAAGTTTTGCCACTACCGCATCTTTTTAAAAGACCATGCCATGGGCCCCGAAGATAACTTCAAAAGTATATTTCCCCCCAAAGTGGACATTTGCTTTTAAGTAATGTCAGCCTTTCTGAAATAAGTGGAGAGCTTCCCAGACTTTGAAGGGAAAAGAACTCACCTAATGTATAAATTTGATGATAAAACACAGTTAGGTCGTCCCTGATTTTATATCCATCTCATATGGAGGGGCAGTTCCATTGTTCTGAAGACTGTGTAGTCACACTGTTGTCCTCAGGAAGAAGTGGTTAAATAGCAGCCTCTATCTTCACTGAGCTGTCTGAAATGGAAAATGAGTCTGTGTGGTAGAGCCCGAGACTGTTTGTATCTTACTGTTCCTGTCTGTTCTCTAAGCCTCCCCTCCCCCACCAAAAAAAAAAGGAGTATATGCCAGGGATTCCCAAACTTTCTCTTCGTGGTACCCGGGTGGTTGTCTTAGGAATTTTTCTCATGGTGCCCTGGGCCAAAAGAAATAGTGAATAATTCCACCTATTGGGTAACTAGGTTCCAACAACTTCAGTGGCAGTTTGCATAGTGTCCAAAAGGTGTTGCTGTGTTTCCTTTAAAAATGTACCCTCTCTGGTGGTGCCCCTGTGAGCTCACGCCTTGCTTGTGTGTCTCAGCACACAGTTTGGGGACCATCGATGTCTGCTCTGCTGATGTCCGCGCTGTCCACGGTTGGTTACAAAATGGAATTCCTGGCCGCTCAGCCTTCTGTATCACTTCACTCTTTGTGCTTCACCATCGTTATTGTCTTGCTTGCCTCTGGCTGATTAGCTTTATAATTGAGGTCCTGCCCTCTTTGGCCTTTCATCACTCCTGCCCTGCCGTGTGTCATCATCTAGACAATGAAATATTCGTCACCCCCAGCATGAGAGGAGACTGGCACTGAGACTAAAGGGGCCCCTGGTGTCTCCCAGTGCAATTGATTTTGTATGTTGGGAGTAGAATCACAAAGGAGGCGAGGAGAGACGGATGTGTTCATAGTTGAACAGTAAAAATGCTTTTGTTGACCAAGGGGCTTGGTCAGCTCTGCTCAGAAACTACTCAGTTTCTCTCAAGTATCTAACAAAACACTTTATCTCCTGCATGAAAAAGTACAGTGGGTTCCCAGTTCTGATTTCCAATCCAATTTTTTTTTGGCGGCCTTGAAGTTGGGAATAGCATAGTCATAAAATTTGTTGGAGCTGGTGGTCAGATCTCGTAAAATAGATTAAAGCTCTGTTGTGCTGGGGATGTTGCCTTCTTCATGTCTATCTGTGGCTTAAAGCTTAAAGGGAGATTTGCTGGCTTAAAGGAATCTTTGATTTTTATTGAATTAATAAGTAGAAGGTATAATTTTCAGTTAGACCCCTGACAATTTACATATTCAGATGGAAAAATGCCAGAGTAAGTCTAGAAGGAGGAAGCTACCAAACCTGAGAGGAGAAGAAAAAAGATGCTTTGTTTGGAGGGTCCGCATTCCTCTCATCTGGGGTGTGTGTGTCTGTCTGTCTGTCTGTCTGCACTGTTCAGTGTGCCTGGAGCTAAAGACACCCTTCAGTTTGCTTTGGCTTTAATTGGGGTGCTCTGGTTTCCTTTGGGAATCTGGTGATTGCTGGGATGTTTTCCCTAGGAACATGTGCATTGTACATGAAACTTTTGCAACCATTTTTTGTTGAGAGGGAGGGGAGTGGAGTACTGTGTAAAGACCCCATAAGATCAGTAACCTCTGCTCTGTAGAATGTGGACCGTGACACCCTAGACCAGGGGTTGGCAAACATTTTCTGGAAAGGGAGAGATAAATATTTTCAGCTTTATGCCCCATCCAGTCTCTGTTGCAACTAGTAGGTGTGAAAGCACACATAAGTATGTCAGTGAATGAGCTCAGGGCTGTGTTCCA